AAAAAAAAAATGAAACACAGAACTAGAAAAAAATTAAAACATACTGTCGTTCAATGAAATGTAATCGACGATTAGATGCTTGTTTTTGTAAAAGATCTATAGCTTTTTTTGTACAATATTTCCAATAATGAATCTAAGAATGAATAAAATTTTTTAATTTCTTTTGTCTTATTATTTATTCTATAACTTCAAATGTTCATATATAGAAATCCTTACTGAATATTCTGAGTCTGAGGTATATGAAAGGATATCCTGTAGAAACTATCGGTTTTCTAAATTTTCGGATTTAGGATCATTCCAGCAGGTTCTAATACTCTGCAATCGCATGTAACAGAAGCTTTGGAGTGCTTTAATTCCATAGGGTATGTTTAGATTTTTTTTAGCACTTGACTCCAGAAAGCCTTTAGTGACGGAAGTCTCCAAAATGACTAAACACGACTGAGTTATGAGATACCGTGAAAAGCACTTATTGCTGTCGAGATATTGCATTTTGACGGTATTTAAATCAAAGTCGTAATTCCTCTCAGGAACACCGGTAAAATTGTTTTTCGAATTTCGACTTGAAATTTAGCACATAGATAGGCCTTAAATATAATAGTTTATCGTGAAAATTTTAAGTCTTTTGATTTGCTCCTATGCTGAAATAAGAACATCGAATGTACCAATGTATATAAACGATGAGAAGATCTGAAAGTTTTATAATGAACTATTCTGTTTAAGGTCTATCTGTGAAAAACTTTAAGTCAAAATTCGAAGATTATTCTTTTCTAGTTTCTCTATATTTGTGATAAGACTAGTTCGTAAGAATTACGAAAGGATTCATTCATATCAGACTGATTGATTACTATTTTTAATTCTTTATCCATAATTCAAAAACTTTCATTTATTTAAAACAAAAATTAATATTTTAGAATAAACTTACAGATTGTACATCTGTTGGTACGGCTGATCCATCGACAATTATAGCTAAAATAAAAAGCAACTAAAAAATTCTGTTATAAAATCTTTACCTGATTGTTCTTCAATATCATCACTATCAACTGTTTGATGATGTTTCTTTTTTCCTATAGCAACACCACGTACTCCTTGACCTAATCGTTTTGGACCTTTAATCTTTGATTCTACCATAACTTTTTTCTGTGGTGGTTCTACTGGTACTATAATCGTCTATTAAAACGTAATCAAAAAGAAATCTTTATTCGTTCTCTTCAATAATCTCTATAAACATACTTTTTGTGCAAGAGCACTAAATTTTAATAAATCATTTGTTTGTGAAATAAATGTTGCACATGGATTAACATTACAACAAATAATTGTTCGTCCACGACCAATAAAAAATGGTCGAAATATACTTGTTAATACACTATTTCGATAAGGTAATAACATTTGTTTTCTAAAATAAATAATCAATTAATCAATTGAGTTTTTTTCTCGTAATTAAATTATACGGTAGTCGAAAGAAGTTCTGCTAACAAGTAAAAATTACATAAACTTCAATCATTTTGCTTGATATTTTGACTACAATTAGAGCTCAATAAATTCTGATCTTTTTTCTCCTTTCTAGTTTCCTACTATTCAAATGCATTAACCTTCATTTTCTTATTAATAAATAACACTTCACATGTCTATGTTGCATAACAGATTAGGATACTTCAATCCGCTGTTATCTGGAGACGCAGGGAAAGCCTTCATTTCTTGGGATGCTGGAATTTTTTTAATGCTAGAAGCCATACTGAACTATCGAATATGAAGTCTAATATCATAAGATTTGTTCTTTATGTTGTGATATCTTCATCTAAAGAAAAACAAATCGATGTTGACCTTCTAGCTCCTCCACATGATGACTGATCAAAAATTCTGATTAGTCTTTACGATCAGAGTTCAATATGCTCAATTTGTATTCAAACTATGAGACTAAAGGAATAAACTTTAGGCATTTTTTACAAGCACTATAAATTTAAAATTTCTTACTTAGCTGTTTGATTTTCATTTAAAACTCGAATACAATCTTTAAATGTCATTAATGATGTATTTATATTACATGTTTCAGCTAATTGTTTTCCTGTACCAGTTGATGGTTCATTTCCAGCCAAATCACAAATATCTTATTTTAAAAAAAAATTGTTTTTTTGTAATATTTTTAAAACTAAACTTACACATATGACTCATTGTCGGTTCTTCTTC